TATTGTTTATCAAAAATTTGTCAAGAGCTCCCTTTTGAAATTTTATTAAATTTTCAACTTTTCTTTTCTTTTGGATTTTTGAATAACCAGATTCATATTTTCTTGTTGACATATTTACATTTTTAAAAAAATTAAACAATATGTATGGAGTAAAATTAATAAAATAATAAATAATAAATAAAAATAATACTAAAAAGTTAGAATGATATTACCCATTCAAGAAGTTTGAAAACTTTGATTCCAAAATATCTAATTGTTGGCTTGTAGAACAAAGAAAGAAATCTAATAGAATTGTAGAAAGAAGATAAGCATGAATAAAGAGGAAGGAAGAAGGTATGTCTCATATATGGAATATCATATATGAGGAGTGAAATGAAATTGTAACGTTGAGATTTACGTTAGAAGAGTATAAAGTAGAATTGTCAAATCAAATCAAATTGAAAACTATTTTTCTACTATGAAAAGTACAATATATATATATATATATNTAGAGTCGGCCCTGTTTATAGAATATATATATCAAATGTTTAATATATTTAAGGCCAAATACCTATACAACCCCTTAAACTTGGTCTCTGTTTTCATTTAGATACTTCAACTAACGGTAGTACCTATTAAACACTCTAATTCAAACAAAAGTGTATCTATTAAACACAAATGATGATATGGCACATTTGTGTGAGCTGCACCTAAATTAGGCGCGTGAAATAATGTTCATCATTTCTTTTTCTTTTTTTTTATTTGTTTCAAAATATTTCTTTTCCCCCACATATACAACAGCCACCGACACTCACCGTGTAACCATCAGACCACCACTACTCTTTATCCATTATAGGCACCATTCACCATTATTTCCCAAAGATCGATCAGCCACAAACATGCGACATCCTATTAAAAAAAACACCATCTTCTTCCTCACCACATTCTACCACCACTCACCATAGTTCAAAGATAAATGATTTTAAAGTTCAAATGCTAGAATTTGAGAATCTGAGAATCTTTAAAATTAACCTAATTTATCTCAGAAATTAGAGGCAAAACCACCACAATATTAAAGAAAACAGAGAGAAACTCAGCAAGAAAAATCAATAATTTCACATACTAAAAAATCAAAATGGATTCTTCACATCAAAATCAAACAATTTCAAAAGTGATAGGCATAATTTCGTGAGTCACAGCAGGCCCGACGAAATCGAAAAAAAAAACTTGAAAGCTCCAAAACAATACTGGCCGACGAAGTCAAGCCAACCATTATTCCTCCAATGAGATCGATTGACCGTAAAAGAAAAAAATATATTTATCTTCCAATATTTTCTCGTTTTCTCCTTAAAGAAAAAACAACCAAATGTTTATCGACTTGCGATGGTGTAACAACGGTGAATATAGCAGGTTGTGGATTTTCTTATTATTTTTGCTGGCCATGAAATTGGGTAGACATTAAAGATGGATTACAGAAGAAATGGAGGACTTTATAAATTGGGGGGATAATAAGTGAAGTGAAATCTTAACATATTAGTTAGTTGACCGTAAAGTATTTGATATGATACTTTTTTGGGAGAAATAAGATGACGAAAGGTGGAGAGAGATCAGGGAAGAAGACGGGCGGGGGGTTGCTGGGAGGAAAAATAATGCTTGCCTCTGTTTTTATTTTTTATTTTTTTTATTTTGTTGACTTGTCATTTTCTTATTGGTCTTATTAGCAGGGTTAGCAGCAAGTAGCATCCACGCACTTATGTATGTTTAGAGTTGTCAAATGTGTGTTTAATAGGCACATATGAGATGAAGTTGAAGTGTTTAATAGGTACTTGTCCTAGTTGAAGTGGCTAAATGGAAATTGGAGCCAAGTTTAAGGGATTGTCTAGGTATTTGGCCTATATTTAAGTATGAAATAGGACTTCGTCATACTTTAGTTAGCTCTCTAATTAGCTCAAACACAATATTTCATTGATCCTTTCGATCTTACTTTTAGATGGAGGGCTTTAGATATATAATAATAGTTGGAGAAAAAATTGCCTAATTCTTGAGGTTCAAATATCTATATTTTGTCCGGGAATATAATCGACTTTAATTACTCCTTTGGTTCCGCTTTATTTGATATTATTTTCTTATTAATTCGTTTAGAAAAGAATAATATTTTTTTGTGAGAATCTTTTATAACCACACAAATATTATGGTGAATTTAAACTACAAGTTTTAAAAGTTTTATAGTCAAACAAATATTATGGAATATTTAAGATCCACTAATTTCAAAAAATTTCTTTTCTTTATTGAACATTATGCCAAGCCAAACTACAAGAAACAAAGTGAAAACGGAGGGGGTAATCTTTTATGCTATCAAAGTTAAGATAACTTAAACAGCATGTAACTTCGTACGATAAGCCTAGCTTAATATAGTAATTGACTTAACTATGCTAAATTGAATTAAAATGTGCTAGTAGCGTAAATGTGTTTATAGGGATCCTTGGATCAACAATGAAGTGTTCTTTGTTTCGGGTTCGAGTCGTGAAAGCATCTAGTAATGGTTGCATTATGATAAACTGCCACTTCTCCAACTTTTGAATTGTCGAAACAAGAACTTCATGTGAGAGTTGAAACCCCAAAAGGAGAATTGGGAATTTTTCTCATAGGAGATCAGAACGTTTTTCCTTGGAGATGAAAAATTCGCCCACCAGGTTTTATCAATTTGCAAATTCTTCCTCAGTTAGTTAAAAGAATAAAATTGGCTGATATTATGACAATACTAGGTAGCATAGATATCTCGGGTAGAATTGAGCTCAATGCTCAATTGAGGCATTTGGAACAATAGGTCAAGGCTCGGCACCTACGTAAGAGATCGAAGTTACCGATATAAATAAGCTCGACATCGAGAGTAGAAGTTCAACAAAACCATCATACTCGCCCTCGAGTTTATCGAAGACACCACCGATCCTGCTTCTAACGGCCTCGGGGAAAAGCTTTACCCACTCACACGATAAGTATCCGTGATTCTCGCCATTGACCAATCATTATGGCGAAAATTACGGAATTTATTCAAAAGGGGAGCCAACAGTCTACATAATTTCTTATAAAATAATGTCTTAAAGGTTTATCTCCCTATATATATAGAAGGAATGGAGTAATTCAGGGGGAACATTGTGACATACTTAAGAGAACAAGATACCATTTTTTAGCTTTGTTCATATTATTCTACCTTCAATAATATCACATCTAAACTCGAAGGAACTTAACCTTGAGAGGCTTAAGTTGTTCAATCTGCATGGTTTGTACTATTATTTCTATTTATTCTTCCATATTAAAACTGATTTCTCATTTTCTATCAAATTAGATCATGTATCCTTAAAACCACGTTTAAACTCAATTATTATCCGATTTTCGGGGTAAACAGTTTGGCGCCCACCGTAGGGCTAAGGATAATAGTGGTTATTTGGTACAAACCTTTATAACACACACTACTTTACACTTGCTCTTTGAATTATCTTTGATCTCAGGCCGAAAATGGCAAACTTTCAACTGGCACCTCTACATGTCGACAACGAGGCTGGTCATCAAGGTGAGAATAACAACATGGCGCCCGCTAATGCAGGGCCACCCGTTGATGTCGTTGGGATTCAGACTGCAGATCCCATCGATGTAAATTCACATGTGGCCATCGACGCGAACTTGCGGACCGACCCTGAAAATAGCGTCTGTGGTGGAGCCCGATCTGCAGCTCGAAACACACAGAAGATTGAAGAAGACGGGATTAATCTACGCATGATATTCAAAATACTACAAGCTCAACAAGTGGCGATAGCTCAGTTACAAAGCCAAACCCAGGCACCGAGCAGGGTTGAACCCGATCCACCCCAAGAAGTCACCCACAGAATGGAACCGGCTGTGATAAGGTCGGATGAACAAGAATCGGGAACTAACCCCGAAATTATAAAAATATTCGAGGAGCTGACAAAGCAAATAGAGTCAGGGGAAAAGAGGATCGAAGCGAACGATAAAAGGATTGAAACCTATAATACCAGGGTAGATCAAATCCAGGAGCGCCCCCGATATTGAAGGGACTGGATTCCAAGAAGTTTGTGCAAAAACCTTTTCCCCCAAGCGCGGCCCCAAAACCGATCCCCAAGAAATTTTATATGCTCGAAATACCTAAGTACAATGGAACGATCGATCCGAACGAGCATGTAACCTCTTATACATGTGCCATCAAAGGGAACGACTTAGAAGACGACGAAATTGAATCTGTTTTGCTGAAAAGATTTGGGGAGACCGTGTCGAAGGGAGCCATGATATGGTATCACAACGTACCCCCTAATGCTATTGACTTATTTGTTATACTTGCAGACTCTTTCGTAAAATCACATGCCGGTGCCATCAAGGTCGAAACCAGGAAATCAGACCTTTTCAAAGTCAAACAGAAGTAGAACGAGATGCTCAGAGAGTTCGTGTCCCGTTTTCAAATGGAACGAATGGATCTGCCATCGGTCGCTGATGATTGGGGTATTCAGGCTTTCACTCAGGGACTCAATATTCGAAGTTCGGTGGTTTCGCAGCAATTAAAGCAAAGCTTGATAGAATACCTTGTCGTTACCTGGACTGATGTACACAATCAGTATCAATCAAAAATCAGAGTTGAAGATGATCAACTCGGGGCATCTTCGAAGTCTATATACCCCGCCACGACTCTCGATAGATCCAAGAGGGGCATCGATCGTGAACCAGGATCAAACGGGGATCGATATCGGCCCTATAATAGAGATCGAATGAGCAGTAGGTCGGGGTGGAACCCCGTGAGGAACGCCAAGAGAAGTGATCGAGGTCGAAGCAACCAGGGGCTCATGACCAAAAATGGCTTCGACAGGAATATCAGGCCTAAAGAAGCACCTAGGCTATCGGAGTACAACTTTAATGTCGATGTCGCCGCCATCATATCTACTATTGGGTGCATCAGTGATACCAAATGGCCTCGGACTTTATAATCCGATCCAGCCAAAAGGGACCCTAACTAGATGTGCAAATATCATGGCACTCACAGTCATAGAACGGAAGATTGTCGACAATTGAGGGAAGAAGTACACTGTCTATTCAACAATGGGAACCTTCGAGAATTTTTGAGCGATCGAGCCAAGAACCACTTTAGAAACAGGGTTTCTAACAAATCGACAGGAGGAGAAAATACCGAACCTCAACATGTCATAAATATGATCATCAGCGGAGTCGACATCCCACAAAGGCCAATGTTGAAACGCACTAGAAACTCCGTCACCAGGGAGAAACGAACTCAAGACTACATACCTGAAGGAGCCTTATCCTTTAGCGACGAGGACGCAAAAGGGATCATACAACCTCACAATGACACACTGGTAATATTTGTAATCTTTAATAAAACTAGGATCAAACGTGTGTTAATTGATCCAGGTAGATCGGCCAACATTATTCAGTCAAAGGTCATAGAACAGCTCGGTCTACAAGACAGGATCGTGCCAGCAGTACGGCTCCTAAACAGGTTCAACATGGCATGTGAAATCACCAAAGGGGAGATAATGTTACCAATCAACACCAACGGAATAGTACGGGAGGCCAAATTTTATGTGAACGAAGGGGATATGAGCTACAACACTCTTCTCGGAAGGCCATGGATCCACCACATGAGAGCAGTGCCCTCAACTCTTCATCAAGTGTTAAAATTCCCAGTCTCAGGGGGGATCAAGACAATCTGCAGGGAACAACCAGCTGCAAAATAAATGTTTACCGTCGAAGAAGTGGCTCCGATATCAACTTTCACAACATCGAAGGAACCGAATTCTGGCGCCGATCCAAAAGCCAAATAGAAATTACCGATCCCAAACTTCATCGGATCAGATAAGCAAAAGACTTACTGAATTCTGGCGACGATCCAAATGCCAAATAACAATTACTGATCCCGAACTTCATTGGATCAAATAAGCAAAAGACTTACTCTGATGATGATTACGGGGTTCCCCGATCTTTTATAAGACGATTTCGACGCAACCAAATCGACGGTCGAAGAGCTAGAGCAGGTTGTATTAATCGAGCATATGCCCGATCGGAAGGTATACCTGGGCACGTGATTAACTCCCAAACTCAGGAAAAAAATTGTTCAATTCTTTATAGTTAACATAGATTGTTTTGATTGGTCCCATCTTGATATGACAGGGATCCCACCAGAAATAACCACTCACAAGCTAAGCATGGACCCAAAAATTAATCCGGCCAAGTGGAAGAGGAGGCCGCAGTCTGAGTTCAAACATGCTTTCATCAAGGACGAGATATCTAAATGCCTAAAAATAGGGTCCATTCAAGAGATTAAATACCCGAATTGGTTAGCAAACGTAGTGATAGTCCCTAAAAAAGGGAATAAGCTAAGAATGTCTGTAGATTACAAAGATTTGAATAAGGCATGCCCCAAAGACTCTTTTCCTTTGCCCAACATCGATCGTATGATTGATGCCACGACCGACCATGAGATTCTCAATTTTCTCGATGCCTATTCCGGGTACAACCAAATACGGATGGACCCGGGAGATAAGGAAAAAACCTCCTTCATCACTAAAAATAACACATACTGTTATAATTTAATACCGTTTGAATTAAAAAATACCGGTGCCACATACCAACGCCTATTAAATCGGATGTTTGAAGAACAAATAGGAAAATCAATGGAAGTTTACATTGACGATATGTTGGTTAAATCCCTGTGAGCAGAGGACCATTTAAAGCAATTGCAGGAAACCTTCAGTATATTGAAAAAGTAGAACATGAAGATGAATCCGAAAAAATACGTATTCGAAATCGGGTCAGGTAAATTTCTCGGGTTCATGGTATCCAACCGAGGAATCGAGATCAACCCTGACAAGATCAAAGCTATCGAAGATATCACGGTAGTGGACAATATAAAGGTCGTGCAAAGACTAACCGGGCGCATCGCCGCCCTGGGGTGATTCATCTCGAGGTCCTCCGATAAGAGTCATCGATTTTTATCGTTGCTGAAGAAGAAAAATAACTTCTCATGTACCCCGGAGTGTCAACGAGCTCTAGAGGAGCTCAAAAGATACTTATCGAGCCCACCGCTGCTTCACACACCGAAGACGGACGAACAACTATACTTGTATTTGGCAATATCAAAGATAGCGGTAAGTGGAGTCCTAGTCCTAGAAGAACGAGTTACGCAATTTCTGATTTATTATGTTAGTCGGACCTTGTGTGAGGCCGAAACTAGATACCCCCACTTGGAAAAATTGGCGCTCGCTTTGCTAAGTGCCTCGAGGAAGCTAAAACCATACTTCCAATGTCACCCAATATGTGTCGTAACTACTTACCCGTTAAGGAACGTTATGAATAAACCCGAACTCTCGGGCCGATTGGCCAAATGGGCCGTAGAAGTAAGCGGGTACGATATTAAATATCGACTTCGAACCGCCATTAAGTCCCAAATATTGGCAGATTTCGTGGCTGATTTTACACCGGCCCTGATACCCGAGGTCGAAAAAGAGTTATTAATTAACTCAGGGACACCTTCGGAAGTCTGGACCCTCTTTACAGACGGGGCCTCGAACGCCAAAGGATCCGGACTTGGTATCGTACTAAAGCTATCAACAAGTAATATAATTAGACAATCTATTAAGACTGTGAAATTGACTAACAAGAGGCCGAATATGAGGCCATGATTGCAGGCCTTGAATTAGCCAAAAGCTTAGGAGCATTTGATCGAAGCCAAGTGCGACTCCCTCCTTGTGGTAAACTAAGTTAACGGAACATTTGAGGTCAGAGAAGAGCGAATGCAGAGATACGTAGACAAGTTACAGGTGACGTTACATATGTTCAAAGAGTGGACTTTGGAACACGTACCTCGGGATCAAAAAAGTGAAGATGATGCCCTCGCTAACTTGGGATCATCGATCGAAGAAGACGAGCTTAAAACAGGAGAGGTCGTACAACTTATAAGATCGGTAGTGGAAGAAGGCCATGCCGAAATCAACTCGACGAGCCTAACTTGGGACTGGAGGAATAAATATGAGAAATATATCATGACCGGAAAACTACCCTCAGACCCAAAAGAATTGAGGGCTCTGCATACCAAGGCAGTCCAGTTTAGTTTATCCGAGGATGGAATCTTAGTCAGAAGAACGTTCGATGGACCGATGGTAATATGTTTAGGATCGGGGGATACCGAATACGTTTTGAGGGAAGTCCACGAAGGTACCTGTGGAAATCACTCGAGCGCTGAATCATTGGTTCGAAAAATAATCAGAGCTCATTATTACTGGATCAACATAGAAAAAGACGCAAAGGAGTTCGTTCGAAAATGCGAAGGATGCCAGAGACATGCCCCAATGATTCATTAGGCAGGAGAGCTATTACAGTCGGTATTATCACAATGGTCGTTCATGGAATGGGGGATGGACATCATCGGCCCCCTTCCACGGGCGCTCGGTAAGGCCCAATTTATTTTATTTATAACAGACTATTTTTTTAAATGGGTGGAAGCACATGAATATGAAAAGGTCAGAGAAAAAGAAGACATCGATTTTATCTGGGATCACATTATTTGTTGATTCGGAATACCGGCCGAGATTGTGTGCGATAACAGAAAATAGTTTATTGGCAGCAAAGTAAGCAAGTTTCTTGAAGACCATAAGATCAAAAGGATATTATCCACTCCTTACCACCCCAGTGGGAATGGACAAGCAGAATCCACCAACAAAACCATAATCCAAAACCTCAGAAAGAGATTGGTCGACACAAAAGAGGAATGGAAAGAAGTGCTACCCGAGGTCCTATGGGCATACCGTACAACTTCAAAGTCCAGAACCGGATCCACTCCATTTTCTTTGGTTTACAACACCGAAGTTTTAATACCGATCGAGGTTGGAGAACCAAGCATCAGATTATGACATGCAACAAGGGAATCCAATGACGAGGCTATGAGTATGAGCCTAGAACTATTAGATGAAAGGCCGAAGCCGCCCTTGCCCGTTTGGCAGCCCAAAAATAGCGGATCGAGATATATTATAATCGAAGGGCCAATCTTCGATATTTCAATACCGGAGACTTAGTATTAAGAAAAGTTACATTGAACACTCGAAACCCGACCGAAGGGAAATTGGGACCAAAGTGGGAAGGACCGTACCAAATTATCGTGATCACCGAAAAAGGATCCTATAAGCTTGGGACAATGAATGGTGAGCAATTACCATGCAACTGGAATATATCTCACTTAAAAGTTAAAACAATATTATTGCTAATGTACAAACCCAATTCTTTCTTCTATTTTTATTTTTTACATTTCAAATTGACACTTGCAGGCAACTTACAAAGGATGATACGAGATCCTAGGTCTGAAAGCACGCGTTACACTCTTTTTCTCTTGAACCGGTTTAGTTCCAAATAGGGTTTTTCGACAAGGTTTTTAACTATGCAACAAGTAATCGTGCTAACTTAGAATGATCACGAGAGCATTCGAGGCCTCTCATTGGTCAATCTCGAACACTAGGGGCAATATCCTTGGGGGTATCAGATTTTACAAGGCATTTCGACTTCGTGATTAAATGGCCTCGATCAACGAGATTTATTGTAAGGTCCAAACAGTCAAATGAACTGTGCCCGCTCAAATCATTCGAGCCCTGGCACAAAACGTGTATACATGTACAACTATTATGCATAGGAATAAAAAAGGAGACTCTTCTTTGCATATAAACATCTCGTCTTCAAAAACGTCACTTGTATTTTTCAAGGAATTTCCTACACCTGATCCCCTAAAGATATCGAGCCCAAGGGCCACTTTAATCCGAGTTCGAACATTCACTGCACTCGGGGACTGTGGGCATTGCCTAACTTAAAAGGCTAAGGTCGTTCCGAGTTAATAAAATTCGAGGGCATAAAGCTTATTTGGCATGCCCGAACTTAATGGCTAAGGCCATTCCGAGTTAATAAAACTTGAGGGCATAAAGCTTATTTAGCATGCCTGAACTTAACGGCTAAGGCCATTCCGAGTTAATAAAACTCGAGGGCATAAAGCTTATTTGGCTTTCCCGAACTTGATGGCTAAGGCCATTCCGAGTTAATAAAATTCGACAGCATAAAGCTTATTTGGCATGCCCGAACTTAACGACTAAGGCCATTCCGAGTTAATAAAACTCGAGGGCATAAAGCTTATTTGGCATGCCCGAACTCAACGGCTAAGGCCATTCCGAGTTAATAAAACTCGAGGGCATAAAGCTTATTTGGCATGCCCGAACTTAACGGCTAAGGCCATTCCGAGTTAATAAAATTCGAGGGCATAAAGCTTATTTGGCATGCCCGAACTTAACGGCTAAGGCGATTTTGAGTTAATAAAACTCGGGGGCATAAAGCTTATTTGGCATGCCCGAACTTAACGGCTAAGGCCATTGCGAGTTAATAAAACTCGAGGGCATAAAGCTTATTTGGCATGCCCGAACTTAACGGCTAAGGCCATTGCGAGTTAATAAAACTCGAGGGCATAAAGCTTATTTGGCATGCCCGAACTTAATGGCTAAGGACATTATGAGTTAATAAACTCAAGTGCATGAAGCTTATTTTGCATTTCCCGAGTTAAAAGGCTAAGGCTATTTAGAGATAATTATTTTATGCTAAGGTATTTCGACCGTCGTTAAGATAAATAAAAAATCAAGGGAAAAATTTGAGAAACGATAAAAGCAAAAATCCTTACACATATATATCAAAATTTAGTTACAAAGGCCGG